CTATGTCAGTGTGAAAGAGAAAGGCTGCCACTGTTAGATTTGAGCCTCCTAAACTGGGTTTGCCACGAGAAGTTCTTCTCAAGCTACATTCCTCAATTAAAGTTGCTAGGATACCACTTGTGGGATGCACAAATAACATTGAGTTTCAAAACAAATAGCTGAGACTGATTTTTTACTCACATTTTGTTATAAAATGGTTACATTTTATTTGAACATGTGATGCATGGTTTGTTCTATTTATTTGCTCCCATATTAAACCTGATGCTGTGTATTACTAGGTTTTTTTCAGCTGAGAGTAGTATTAGAGTATGTTACGTCAGGGGAAAAAAGGAAGTGCTTCTTTGACTGAGTTGCCAGCACGGTGAGTTACTTGAGCTGGCAACAATGTCACTGGATCTTCAAGCCTGTCCTACTCCCTAACCAGTAGGCTTAAGGGAGCACTGAATGTGCATCATGCACCTTATTCTTTCATACTGTTGATATGTGTAAGACTATGCGTAGCGACAATGCATAGCCTTATTTTTAGATAAAAAGAGAATATTTACAATCTGATTAGTCAGTAGTTTCTGACTGCAAAAAAATACCTGGAATGGGACAGGATTTATGTTGCATGTTTAGAAACAGCAGGCTGTGCTGCTTCTGCTCTGCAGAGTTTTTGCTCCTCACTCCTAGACATATGGAAGTTTCTGTCCCCTCTTCCCAGCTGGAATGGCTGGACTTCCCTGTTCATTGGTTAGCTGCGCAGTGTCGTCAGTGGGGCAGTAATACTGGGACAGGGGCACTACATTTTAACTGGAGGCTGCTTATCTCCTTTCTCTTTGCCCATCTGAACTCTTGAGTCAGACTCGCAGCACGTAGGGTAGAGTAAGTATGTTCTTTGTCTTTATCTAATTCTGTTACTGTCTTTATCTAATTCATCCCTTTGTTGTAGCCAGTCCCTTATTCTTTTATCTTTTCTTTTTTCTTTGAATTGTAATGTAAAAGGGGTTTAGCATAACTCAGTGTCCCCAATACGTATACCATAACTGATAATTTTTACCTGAGTGTGGTTTTTTTGTTGTAAGTAATCCTGGAGTTTTGTAATTAAAACATCTCTGCAGCTTTGCAACACGTATATTTGGTCAGACACTGTTGATTGGAAAGCTATTGGTCTCCCCCAGCCTGACACTACAATTAAATTTTAACTCCAGTATGTTTAGTTCATAGTGAACAACTCAGTGTTAACTTTCCGTATTTTAT